TCCCTACAGAAGCTCCCAGCACTTAGGAAGTGCTCAGTTTTCATGACTGGGGTGAGTGGTGTCAGGCTAGCCCAGCGTCCAGACCCCTGGGCGGGAAGGAGTCAACGACAGTGCTTTGGCTCAGCCCAGATCCCCCTTCTCTCAGTGACTCTCATTCAGTAGCTACAACAAGTGCACAGCTCCAGCAGCCTCCACTAAGAGCATGTTCTGCAGCTTTTAATCTAGGCAAAATAAGGAGAAGAGCACAGTCACGGCTAACGGAAATTATTCTTACCTTTATGAGGAATGACTTCAAGTAGAGCACTCCACTGAGTGAATATGGGTTCCTCCTTCTTTTCTTCCCCAAAGCAACTTATTTGTGAAGATCCCGGTAGTGAACAGATACTGTGCTTTCTCTTCCTCTTTCCCTCTGCAAGCGTCAACCCAAGTAAGAACAAGATGCTGTGTGATGGGACACCCCTCTCATGTCAGAACAATCTGTAGTGGTTATTAAAGATTCGCAGGCAGGTATAAAGAAACAGACTGTGAAAAGATGGTGTGTATTCCCTGTTCCAGAGCTAGAGGAAAACAAAGGTCACCAATCTTCTGAATGCTTCCTTGCAGTCAAGGGCTTCTGGACATGCATGCACAAACATTAAACCTGCTACCTTGGAGATGGGGCTAGAGGGAAACCCAGCTTCGTATATACACACTTCAGAGGAGACATCGTGAGAAAGATGAGGTTTCCTGGCACCTTACCCACCCTGACCAAACCACTGCAACTGAAGTCAATATCAAAATTGTCACCATCCTCCCTGAGTTTCATGGGTTTTCCATCTATTTTCCCCTCAGATGCACTGAGGAAAGAATCCACCTGTATTGTCTTCATGCCTGCTGTGCAGACAAGGAAATGCTCTATTTGTACGTGTAAAGGGATTTCTCTTGTCTTACAGGGCTGGGAGTCTGAGAGACACAAAACAGTGAAGCCATAGGTGCCATTATCTGTATAGAAGTAGTTTAAATGTGAGGAAGAAACACACCTTCGACACCCTGTAGCTTCAAAAGAAGTGAGAGGAAGCATGACACATCCTGTTTCTACAAACCCTTTTCCAGTAACTCTAAAGAAAATCTTTAAACTTGTAAGCGTAGGCAAAGCTACTTACCTTCATTCATAGTTTTCCTGTTTTCCTCTGAGGTCAAACAGATTTATGTGTGAAAGGACAACCTGCACTTGACAGAGTGAAGCCGTTTGCCACTTCTTGTTTACACCAGTTCTGCAAAGCTAACTCCAGAGTCTCTGCCTTTTCTTGTATTATCAAACTCAATAAAAACAGAAAAGCTTGAAGAGCAGAATAGGTGGCACATTTTAAATGCTTCTTCAAAGGCTGATTTGCTTCACTGTTTTCTCACGATTAAAGCAGTGCATCTGCTGAAATAACAAAGAAATTGTGCACAAAGCAAATGAAAATGCTGGAAAATCTAAGGTCAAGCAAGTTATTCTGAGTGTCCATGGTACAGCCAAGCTCCAATCTGTCTGGTATCTGTTCCAAAGTCAATACCTTCATTCGACGACTTTGCTCTCCCACCCTACAAATTCTTCTCAATGGCAGCCAAATTCTCATTGAAGCTCATGGGAACAAGCTCTGACACTTACATAAGTGAGTTCCCAATGCATGGGAAGCATTCTTCTGAAATCAGTAGAGCCTACATTACTGTAGGTAACACAGAATTATAGAATCATTTAGGTTGGAAAAAACGTTTGAGATCATCGAGTCCAACTGTTAACCTAACATTCCAACTCCACCACTAAACCATGTCCCGAAGCACCATGTTTACATGTCTTTTACATGTCTCTTCTTTGGACATGCTCCAGCACCTCAACGTCTTTCCTCTGGTGAGGGGCCCAAGACAAACACGCTATTTGTGGTGCGGTCTCACCAGTGCCGAGTCCGGGGTGGGGGGAATCACTTCCCTAGTCCTGCTGGCCACACTATTTCTGATACAAGCCAGGATGCTCCTGGCCCTCTTGGCCACCTGGCCATGCTGCCGGCCATCAACCAACACCCCCAGGTCCTTTTCCGCCAGGCAGCTTTCCAGCCACTCTTCCCGAAGCCTATAGCATTGTGTGGGGCTGTTACAACCCAAGCGCAGGACCCGGCACTTAGCCTTGTTGAATCCCATACACTTGGCCTCAGGCCATCGATCCAGCCTGTCCAGATCCCTCTGTCGAGCCTTTCTACCCTCAAGCAGATCAACACTCCCGCCCAACTTGGCATCATCTGCAAACTTACTGAGCAGACACTTGATCCCCTCATCCAGATCATTGATAAAAATATTAAAGATATTCAGAGATTACTGGTTAATTGGTTATACTTTTTCTAGTGTAGTAGAGTACTACAGGGGTCTGTCCTGGGGTCTGTCCTGAGGTCTGTCCTGTTAAACATCTTTATCAGTTACCTGGAGGAGGTGATGGAATTCACTCTCATCAAAATTGCAGGTAGCAGCAAATTGAGAGGACCAGGCAATGTGCTTGCAGGCAGGGCTTGTCACCTGCTACGACTGGAGGAATGCGCCAACAGTAACTTTATGAAATTCAACAAGGACCAATGCAGAGTCATGCCCCTAGGAAAGTGGAATGCCTTGCAAGGATACAGTTTGAGGACTGACTAATTGGGGATCACCTCTATGGAAAAGAACCTGAGGGTTTGAGAGGCTGCACAACTGCATCCTTGGAGGTTTTCTAAAACCTAGCTGGATAAAACCCTGAGGAATCTGGTCTGACCTCAGAGCTGATCTTGCTTTGAGCAAGAAGTTGGATTAGAAACCTCCTGAAGTCTCTTCCCACCTGAGTTATCCTGTGTTCCTGTGTTGTCATAAAAGCCTTCATTATAGAGAAGTCCCATTGGAATCAGTACACAGATGCTTTGTTTGCTGGGGTCCAGAGATATGATCCAGGCAAAATCCCTGGGAATGTTAGAGGTCTGTCAGCCTGTACACCCTTTAGGATCAAACCTGTAGGTTTTGAGGTTCTTTTCAGATTTTTAGGGCATACCAAGAGGTTGGCACAGTGTTTTCATCAGACATGCTGTACTGGGCCTGGCTAGGAAAGAGTTAATTTTCTTCATAGCAGCTCATATGCTGCTGTGTTTTAGATTTTTGACCAAAACAGTACTGGTAACGCATTAATGTTCTAGCTTTTGCTGAACAGTGTTTGCACAGCATCAAGGCTTTCTCTGTTTCTCACTCTGCCACCCTAGTGAATAGATTGGGGGGTACGTAATATGCTGGGAGTGGACAGAACCAGGCAGATTATCTGAACTAACCAAAGAGATATTCCATACCATATAATGTCATGCTCAGCAATAAAAGGGAAAAGAGGGGGCTTTAGGGGAATTAGCCATCTTTTGCTTGGGAGCTGGCTGAGCACTTGTCTATCCACAGAAAGTGGTGAGTGATTGCTTTTGCATCACTTGTTTTGTTTTGTTTTCTTCCCTCTCCCACTTATCCTTCACTTACTAAACAGTTTCCATTGTTTGGGTTTTTTTTGTCTGTTTTATCTTGACCCCCAAGTTTCCTTGGTTTTATTTTTCCTTTCCTCTTCCCCTGTCCCATGCAGGTGGGCTGAGAAGTGAGTGAGTAACTGTGTGGTGCTTATCTGCCCGCCAAAGTTAACCCACAACACATGCCCTGCCTGTCTGTCAGTGGCAGGAGCAGTGGATGACCCCAAGGGTCTGCATGTCTTAATGAATTCCTAGGCTCTATTTACTTTGGCCCCTCACCAGAGGAAAGACGTTGAGGAGCTGGAGTATGTCCAAAGAAGAGCAGTGAAGCTGGTGAAGGGTCTAGAGAACAAGTCTTATGAGCAGCACCTGAGGGAACTGGGGTTGGTTAGTCTGGAGAACAGGAGGCTGAGGAGGGGAGACCTTATCACTCTCTACAACTACCAGAAAGGAGGCTGTAGTGAGGTGGGGGTCACTCTCTTTTCTCAAGTACCAAGTGATAGGATGAAAGGAAATGGCCTCAAGTTATTCTAGGGAGGTTTAGATTGAATATTAGGAAAAATTTCTTTATTGAAAAGGTTATCAAGCACTGGAACAGGCTGCCCAGGGAAGTGGTTGTGTCACCATGCCTTGAGGTATTTAAAAAATGTGTAGACATGGTGCTTAGGGACATGGTTTAGTGGTGGAGTTGGCAGTATGAGGTTTGTGGTTGGACTCGATGACCTTAAGGGTCTCTTCCAACCTAAATGATTCTATGAATCTGATGGCATAACCATTTTTTAATCCATCTAATTGTGCACCCAGCAACACTGTAATGTCCTCTGTCATATACACTGCATAGGAAACGTTGGCAGAAGAACATGTCCAGGCCTGGTACATATGCAACCTGCAGCCATTTGCCTCTACATCCAAGGTTTTGCTACGAGCTGTTGTAGCCGTGCCGGGCTGCATGACCCTGCCCTGCACTGCAAGCAGACAAGCAAAGCCCATTAGAGCAGCCCCACTGTGTTTTCCTGAAGCTGTGCCTGAGCACAGGGCAAGAAGGGTCTTCTGGGGTCATCAGGGCTTGCTCTGGAGTCCAGTTCTCAGAGTTTGCAGGAGGCAGAGGAGGGAAAATAATGTTTTTCCGAGCAAACTCCCCTGTGGGCCCTTTGCAGGCTATCCTCACCTGTCCCCAGAGCCTCTTGAGCAGAGATGGCCACCTGCCAGCTCCTCACATCCTGACCCGCTTTTCCTGAGAACTCAGCAAGGCAGAGTTTCACAGACAAGAGGAAATCCCTAAACAGCATGCAACCCCGAGAGTGGAAAGTTTGGGGGTGGGAGGGGCGTTGGTGTTTGGCGGTTTTCCCAACTTCCCCATGAACGTATTTGACATCTCGCTGTCCCTGTCAGCACAGGATCTCAGTGGAAACTGGAGCTGGGAGGGCTCTTCCTGCCTGGGGGAGGCTTCCCAGGAGTGCGAGGGATTTACCAGTCACCACCTTTCATTTCCCTATCCCTTGCTGTGTCCCACTGAAGGCCATGTGCAGTGGCAAGCTGCAGACGGGTTTGCTGGTGGCCGGCTACTTCGTCTACCTGCTGGTGGGTGCAGCTGTGTTCCAGGCACTGGAGAGGACTGCTGAGAAGCAGGAGAAAATAGCAGCTGCCCAGATGAAGGAAGCTTTTCTGCAGAGCTTCACCCACCTCACGGTGGCGGAGATGGAGCAGTTTATGAAGGTAAGTCCCAGTCCTGCAGAAGCCCTTTCTCTCTCCTGTTTCCCTGTGAGATGTTGTTTCCTACTCAGCCTTGCTACAGAGATAGCTTTCACTGCTTTCCTACTGATTTGATCATTTGGATGATTTTAGCAAACCCCAAGCTCACTCTCTGGTCTGAGCAGGCAGGTCACACTGATGGTAAATACAGCTTGTGTAACTTGACAAAACCTTGTGTGTTAACTATTAACAGTCCCCATCCCAAGATGTCTGGACTTTGTGGGGTCTTGCCTCCTGCTAATTGGACTTTCAGTAGGGCTGTGCTCATCTACAATGGATGGCACGGCAGTAAAAATGAGGTTGTCTGAAATGAATGGGTGTGGTGGCCACTTACAACAGCGTCATAGATAGCACAAAGCAACAATACAGCAACATCTGAAGTAATCTGTTGGGTGAAAAAAAAGAAGCTCAAATCACTACAAGGAAGGTGGCATAGTCAGGGTTTACTTTTTGAAGATGCTGTAGAAGTGAAACAGGTAGCCTGGCCAAGGGAAAGGTGTTTCTGGTCACAGCACAGGAAGCTGAGAATGAGTATGGGTGTCTCTTCATCTGCGATATTTCCTAGCTCTATCTGCTACAGTGCAGAAGAAAATGGGGAGGGCAAATAGCCTTGCTGTAAGCATCTCCACATGGGAAACTAATGAAGCTCTTAACGGGCCAGTTCACATGATGAGGAAGGGAGGGGAAGAGCTGGTATTTCTGATAAACAACCAGCAATCCAGCCCTCAGTTCACATATGCATGCACCCTCATCACATACGCCTGCACCCTCATCATCTTGAATTTTTTTGGCAGGTAGGGAAGGAGAAAAAAAGGAGGAACTTTTCAAGAAAATGAAATCTTTGTGCAAGGGCTGTGGAATGATTTCTGTTAGCTTTGATTTTCTGGGACAGCAGCAAAAAATATAGTGAGGGAGGAAGGGGCAGGGGGAAGACTTTTCTGGTGCAGTTTATTCCAGCTTGTGTCTTGCCTCTGGCAGGGCTGAGCCCTGGATTTTATCTAGGCTGTTTCTGTACAAACCAGCCTGCCTTCCAGATGTCCAGTCCAATGTTCTCTGTTTGCTAAAGGCAGGGACAGCTGGATACTGCTTGGGGTTTTTTGGGGTTTTTTTTTTTTAACTTAAAAAAAAACCAACGCAGCACTTACTTAGAGTTAAAACCAAGGAAGAAGGGAATAGTCTGAAAATGCATGACATGACAGATGATAAGGCTGGAGGGGCTTAGGAGAAACATCTCATCAAACTTCTGCGGCAGTCTCAACTCAAGGCAAACCATCTCTGACAGATGTTCATCTAGCCTCATCTCAAAGGCCTCAATATAAATATGTGCATGTGTGTTCACTCATGCAGTTTGGAGAAGAGTGTGTAAGTCAGGCTGAATTCTGATTGTGGTCTGTCATGACCTGAGCTGGAAAGACCAGGGAGGGGTCGTGGTGAGTTTGGAATTCCCTCAGGCTAAATTAAGGTGAGATGACACCAAACGATCAGTTAAACATTTTATTCATGGCAGAAGCAGCCTGAACTTGGCATGCATAATGGTGGTGGGGTTTCTCTCAATAGGCATTGGCATGAAACTACCTCAGTAAACCGTGTAACCCGTAGTAACCATATACATCAATTCAGGGAAGAAGGAGAGCCCTCCTGTTGAGTCACAAGGTTCAGAGCAGACCCTCTTGCTTTCTAGACTCCTTCTCAGAGAAAAGCCTGGCGGTGGCTGGATCCGCTCCTAGTCCCAGACTTGATCAACGGGTTTATGTCTAAAGCAATGAGGTGTAGGCACTATGGAAAAGGAGAGAGAAAGACAGACAGAGAGAGAAAGAGGAAAAGAAAAGAAAGATTTCACTGGTCCTGGGTCCAGCCTAGAGGTCCAGTTGCAGAGAGTGCGTGCATGGGGCTTCAGTTTGTGTCCTTTTACCATCTCCTTGCCCCTCCTTTGGGCAGGCACTCAAAGTCATTAGGCTGATTAGGTGTCATGTGCAGTTTGTGCTTTCAGAACCTTTGGGAAACGGGTCGGTGGGCTTGGGGGTCCTTTGGGGAGTAACTTCTCCTTCCCTGCAGGCATAACCATTGTTTGATCTTTGGCCATACCTGGTGCACCTGTGGTTCAGTGTTCATTGCTATGCAGAACTTGCTCCACCACAATGCTTGAGACATTAACTCTTTCAGTCTCTCACATGGTCGCACCAAGTGTAATGCTTTGCAAAGCAATGGACTTTCTCTGAATTTAAATCTGTGACACTAATCAGAATACAGCCTTAAAATGAAATTCTCTGTGTAGTCACACGTACCCTGCTATAACTCACTGATGCCCTTCTGGGAGGGATCAGAGTCACTGCTCAGTGTGCCTGAATACAGGTGATTGATCAGATCCTGGATCCACCACTGCTGTCTCAAGGGCGAAGTCAAAACCAGCAACCAGCCACTTCATCACTTAAGCCGGTGGGCTATCTTGCTCTGCCATGTCCTAGTCATCTATAGGATCATTATTTCCAAAGTACTTAGCCTAAAAGAAAGTCCTTGATCATGCTAAAAGAAACAAGTTCTAACACTCACTAGAGCAGTCAGCATAAACAGGGCAAAGGACTAACACTCAAAAACATGAGCTGGCTGCTACCCAACCTTGGAGGTAAAGGTGTGAATAGTGTCAGAGTATTGCTGAGGACAGGTGAGCGGTATTCACAGGAAAGGAGCAGTAGTTGGCTAAATCTGTAGTACTCTTGCAGCAAGCACTTGAGAAAACCAGCCATGTTGATATCAAACTTTGCTTTCCCTCCCAGAACCTGACTGAAGCCATTCAGAATGGAGTATACCCTGTTGGAAATGAATCACAGACTGAAGACAGCAACTGGGATTTCAGTAACTCCTTCTTCTTTGCAGGCACAGTTGTCTCCACAATAGGTAGGTCTAATGCTTTCCATTTATGTGTGTTTCTGTGTGTGTGATGCTTATTATATCTGGTTATTAGGACCTGAATGGATAATACTTTCAAGGATAAATCTCCAGCCCTTTATCGTCATGGATGGTAAGCAGCAATGGACTTGGTCCTGAGACTTCACCACTGCACAGCTCTTTGTGCATTATTTTGGCTTGTGAAATACCAGTGGCCTTTCATATTATTTCTGACTTGTTTCTTCTTTTTGAGCCATCTGTTAAAATGTTCACTCTGCTGCCAGTTGTGGGTAGGAGATAAATTTCACTTTCCTGGTCTTTATTCTAGGGTCAAACAGGCTTTAAATCTGAGACTGCTGTAAAGCATAAAAGAATGGTAGGAAAGAAATTAACTCTGCTGGGGCATGGACACTGTCTCAATAACCTGTGCTGAGCCATTAGTGCACATACTGAATTAGTAATATGCCAGGAGGAAAAAATGGGAAGGGGGTAAGGCAAATGCTGAGACTTTTACACTGCTGCTTCAAGCTGTTCTGACCTTTTCAGGGGCTGCCTGCCACTACCTGCCTCTCCGTTTCTCTCAAATATGCCTTCAAAAAAGTGCAGGCCTCCCAAATTTAAGCATAAAATCCACACTGTTGGCTCCTGCTTTCATGATTTGCTTTCATGCAGTGAAAGTCAAATCTATGTTTTTGCAGAGTGAAGCTGAGGCCTTACTCCCACTACACCCTAGACACAACTATTCCACTGATCCATGAGTGTGACAGGTCACAAGGGACACAGTGGTGTCCCAGCATCATGGCAGGTGTGTAGGTGTTGCATGGACCCATGTGGAGACCTCCCACTGTAGAAGAAAGAAAGGCTTCTGACCCATCACATCAATGACAAATGTTCCATGGTTACAACAACATTCACATATCGATAAAGCTTCCTTGGTTTGTCAGCACCCTGCTACTAGCCAATCCATTCCTTGCCACCACCTGTATTACTCTATTTTTTTAATTACAGCATTTCTATGCCAAACAAATCAGTCACTTCCCATCAAATTTCTTTCCCTAGCGAGGCAGACAGGCTGTCCCAGGAAAAGCACAGCTTTGCCTGTTTCTCTGCAGCTTCACTGCAGAGGTCTGTTGTGAAGGTACGTCAGGTACTTCCACCCATCTTCACCAGGTTTTGTCATGAAAATGGAATATTTCTGCAACAGGGAGCACAAGACAGCCCAAGCATTTGGGGGCCTAGTAGCCAATAAATCACTCAGTTGTTTTATTTGTCTTTCCCCCCAAAGAAAACATTGCATTTTCCAAGTAATGAATGCCTTGAGATGAACTATGCTTGGGAAAGTGCCTTTTCTCAAGGTCGCTGACAGAGTAAGGACATACACAAAGTACAGGACTCTTGCACTCAGGGGTGTACCTCATGGGATCTAAAAGGAACATTCTCCAGTCCATTAAAGGACATGTTTGGAGTTCTGCAGCCGTTGTTCCACTACTTAGATAAATACTCTTTTAGTAGGACTTTAAGACAAATATCTCTCTGGCTTGAATAAATCAGCCACCAGTAAGGTCTGGAGTAATTAGCACCATCTATTATAGTGCACACTGCACTACCTCCAGGATTGGAGCCAGTATCTGGACATACCAACTTACTGGCAGTTAGCCAGGGAGGTCATTAACACACAGGCAGATCAACAAGAAGCTGAAGATGGCTATATGTGATTCTGACATGACAAACAGCCTGGGACTCCAGCCTTGATGTCTTCCAGGTCCCCAGACTTCTGGTTTCTGTCTTCCCATGTATTTGTCACAGGACAGAGCATGTTTTCCATAACTGCTTTTAGATTGTGCTTCCATTCCCACTAAGGCTGGATTGGGAGCACATAGCGCTCTCTGCATCTCCCAAAACATGGAGGGTAAATCACTTTGCTTACTGCCTTTTTCAGAGAAAAAAGTGTGCATGTGAACTGAGAAGTCCTAGCCACATCTTTTGGGGTCAAAGGCAGGCCAGGCTGGGGTAGGTGTGAATGTGACTGTGGACTGCTCCAGTTCTCTGGAATATCTCCTCTGACCCAGTTTTTTCATAGGTTATGGCACGCTACATCCTAAAACTGCTGGGGGCCAGATCTTCTGTGTCTTTTTTGCTCTGTTTGGAATCCCTCTGAATATTGTTTTTCTGCACCGTGTTGGTAAGATGCTCTCACTGCTGTGTAAAAAGCTGGGGAAATTCCTGTACGAAAAAGGAATGAGAAAGGTAATTAGTTTTACTTACTCAGGCACATTTATATGCTCATTTCTAGGTTTTTTCTCAAGATATATGCTGGCATTATCCTCTATTATATTTGTTCTCATGCTGTGTTAAACATTGTGCCATGAGAGGGAAAGAGACATTCTTCACTTGCAGAGCTAAACAGACAAGGCAACCATAGAGGATATATTCAGAGAAAGGGAAGCATTTTGTCTACCCCTCTAAATGGCAGACATCCAGCCCCCTTCAGCAATCAATGGAGAGAGTGGGTGCCTCATCCTGCTTCTCTAGACACTTATCTCAGGAGCTAACACTCTAGGGAAGTGTCTGTCTCCCTTTATAACCAGTAAAGAGAGAGATGATTAAGCATCTCGAGGCAGGAAAAAGCAGGTGAGCTGCAAAAAGCTGTAAAAAGCAGGTGAGCTGTAGGGGTTTCAATGGATATTGACTCAATGCCTAGTGTGTCACCCTTCCTTATTCATTATGCAGTCCTTCAATCCCTCTCCTCCCTTGACTTTGACAGAAAGGAAACATCAGGCTGAAGTTGTCCATTTGATCCCAATTGCTGAAAGGTAAGGAGGCACCTGTAAAGGGCTAGAGAAAGATGTGTCTTGCCTGGTTATACCCCAAGTTATTTGCAGCTCCTCCCCTTCTCTCACCACTAGTGAGGAAGTGAGAATAGCTTTTCTGTGTCTCCTACTGTAATTCTCTTTCAGGACAAGGTATGAACGCTACAGATAACCCTGTTCAAATTGCTAAATTTCTCCCCATGTCTGGGGAACTTAAATAGAACCTAAGGCTTGATCAGATATAGACTCAAGCACATGCACAATGCATGAAGGCGTGAAAAATTATCCAACAGTTGCCATTAATTTCTAGACAATCTGGACTTATAAAATTCTATACATAAACTATATGTGTGTCTGGCTAATAAATTTTAATATATAACAAGCCTTTTTTTCCAGTCAAGGCTTCTTCATGACTGCTGGGAAGTAGGATGATTCAAAAGTCACTGTCCAGGCACTTCTTCATCAGGAGCTCATTTGTTAAAGGTCTTCTTGTAGTAAGATATCCACTGGATAGGAGCCAATTTCTGGCACTGGTGCAATGAGTAATAAAGTCAACGGTCAAGACTCTTGGAGATAGTACTGTCAGAAATGGTGTCATTTTTTTTTTTAAGTCTATTTTCCCAGGCAAATTTGAATGTTCTTTAGGTGCCACACCTGAATACCTAAAAACTAAAATTCAAGTCTGCTGACAAGTGGAAATAGTCTGACTCCAGTAAAAGTCATTGGATAGGAATTCCTCCTATACTCATGGTCAATGGAGGATGATACAATCAGATAAAAGACTACTTCTCCCAGGGCTACTGAGGCCATACAACACTCATAATACATGGCTTTCTTCTGCTTCAGAGCAAGGCTACGGTACTTTTAGAGGAAGAGCACTCAAATACAAATCCTTCAGTTCCTGTAGTCCTAGTAGGTATTCCTAGATAGCCACGCATTTTGAAGAGCCACCGCTATATATAGCCTGCTAGTGTGTCAAATCATAATTATAATTTAATTGGTTTCTTCCTTTTCCAGAAGAAGATCAAATTTCTGACCCTTTTATTCTTCCTGGCAACGGGGATCCTAGTTTTTCTGTGCTTGCCATCACTCTTCTTCCAGATAACAGAGGGCTGGTCCTACAGCGAAGGAATTTACTTTGCATTTATCACCCTCAGCACCATTGGCTTTGGAGATTATGTAGTAGGTAAGGTTGATTTCAGGGAGGAGACACAGCAAAGCACCAGGGTTATGACTGTAATTACCATGGGTTGACTGCATAGGCCACCAATGTACTGCAGAGACAAATCTTCTGTCTGAGTTGTTGGCTAGTCTTTGCCCTGTACAGTTCTGGAGGAAATATGCATTTCTCTGGGATTGCGCGTGCTGACAAAGTTGTCTAAATATAATGAAATGTGGTGCTTCAGATTGCAGAGAAGCCAAGTATTTTGGGGAGGGAAGGGGAAGTGTGAGGGGAGAATTCAAGGAGCCTAGGAATTTGCATATACCAAAAGGGAACAGTTTGCAACAGTCATACAAAGTAAGACAGGTATCCCTGCTTTAGCCATCTAAGACTTATGTTTCAAAGTGTAAAGAAATAAGTGCTCATATTGCAGAAGCCAAGATTTTACACAACAGACTGAAAGGTGGAAATCCCAGTCATGGGAAGGTGGGGAAATCTACTCACTCTGTGAGAAGTGGGGCTTAAACATATAAATCACTGCAAAAGTGGCCTTCTTTAGTCTGCTATGCATCACTGGGGGCTCTCTGTCTTCACAAGCCAGAGCTTAGGATTTCCCCTGAAGACAGACTGTTTAAGCTACGCTCCAGCATGCTAGTGTACTTCCCAAAGCACTTCTGTGGATCTGCTGACCAAAATACATTCTCCATAGAATAAGCTTCTGCAGAAGCTCCAAAATGATGACCAGGAGCCAAATCAGTGTCCACAGAAGAAGCAATCAAACACCTGGACTCCATGGAAAAATCAAAGATTTCTCTACAGCAAGATGGCCAGCATCTTGCCAGCCTGAACTTCTCTTCAGTAGGGATATGAGAATGAAGCTCTGAAGCTAATACTTGAGCACCAGTGCTGTCCCTACAGAGAATCTGGAAGCCTCATGTCCCTTTCTGATGGACAGACATCCACCACACGTCAAACCCTAGGCTCTCAAGCCTTGCAGACATGCAAGAGGGGCCTTGGAGACTGGCTGGCAGCCTTGCTGCGTGTTTGAAAGATTTCTTACATCAGGCTCAGGACTTTGGCAGAGGGAGCCCACAAACTTTTCCAGACACTGATGTTCCCTGCTGACCTTAATTTCTCTGAGTCAGCTAAAGAGGCTGGGTAGTGCTTTGATGATCCAGTTGACTTCTTGCTTGTTTGCATGAGTTTAGTGATTGCAATGATCTTGTAGCCTAGCTGATGGTTAATTCATGCAATGGCAATGAGTTGATTAGGCCACATTTCCCCAGGTGATCCCAGCCAGCTAACTGCTCCCTCTTGCTACAAAGCACAGGAAACCAGTGTCCCCTGAAATTCCCCTTTTCACATAATCCAAAGATTCTTTGTCTCCAACACTGGTTAGGCAGTATTGCTGTGAACACAACACAGAACTCAGGCATCAGCAAGGAATCTGTATTACACAACAGTGGCCTCTTTGCTCACTCCAGCCAGGGCCAATCTTTGTCACTGCAATGGAGGACAACAGGGCACAAGCATTTCTTTCCTAACCATCTGCAGGACTGATAACCCTGGCCTGTGTGATACTGAGCACCTCAAACTTCAGTGATGTGGAATACAGGAAGGTGCAAAGTGGGTGGTGTCATGCAGGAGAAAGAGTGAACATCAAACTGGTGCGTTCTCTTCCCTTGTCCAAATTACAAGTGTGTTTTACAATAATGACAGCAAGTCACAGCCTTAAAACTACTACCTCCATAGCACCTTCCTCCTCTGCAGCCATATTATTTTACAAATACAGTAAAAAATAACAATTAGATAGGCCTTCTGGCTTTGTGATTTCATCTTCTTTAGGATGACTTAACTGGAGCTGAAGTATTTCTCCCTGCAGTATTTATTGATAGGACAAGGAATAATGGCTTTAAACTGAAAGAGGGTAGATTTAGATTAGATGTAAGGAAGAAGTTCTTCACTGTGAGGGTGGTGAGGCACTGGAACAGAGGTTCTGCCCGGAGAAGTTGTGGATGCCCCATCCCTGGAAGTGTTCAAGGCCAGGTTGGATGGGGCTTTGAGCAACCTGGTCTAGTGGAAGGTGTCCCTGCCCATGGCAGGGGGGTTGGAACTAGGTGATCTTTAAGGGCCCTTCCAACCCAAACCATTCTGTGGTTCTATGATTTATCTCAATTGGCCTTAAACAAAGGTGATAAAATGATCATGTTTAATGCCTCACACCATCACAATGAAACAAGCAGAATCAATGACTGCTCTGAGTATTATGCATTTAGAATTGAGTACAGATGACAAATGGATTTGTGCTAGCCAAGTGCAACAGAACAGGTTTGACTTTATTTGCATTTTAGTAGTTCAAAACTGGTTTGTAGCTGTTGCACTTCAAGCATGAGATAAAGCCTGTTTTGGGTAGGGAGACATCGTAGGAAGATGGCAGAGTCTGGATTTAACTGTTTGTAGTACACATACCCATGGGTGATACTTCTACGGTGAAACTCCCCTTGGGCTGTAAACTGAATTTATGCCCTGCTGAAGTCCAGTTTTGAGTTAACAATACAAAGATATTACTAGTTGCTTTGCTAACCCCACATCATGAACTGCAGATAAGAGCACAAAAGGAGATGCTTTCTAGCAGGGCTGGAATCCCCTCTGCCAAGTGAACCCCAGCAGAAGAAAAAGAAACAGCTGTTGGATATCTATCCATGAGGACAAACCAGCCCAATCCTGCCCCATTTCCAGAGCTCTTGCATGACAAAGTACAAAAATCCTGCACATCGATCTGTGAAGTACAGAGCACTGCAGGACTTGAAAAGAGTTGCCAGCATCATGGCTCCTTCTGGGCAGCTTCACAAGGGGAAATGATCCACCAGGTTTGTGGTCTCCCTATCCAGGCACATTGCTGTGTTATCTACTATGTGGAGTCACCCTTGACAGTGACTTATAGCACTCAATAAGCAGTATCACCAAGTTTTCCTGCAGATGCCAGGGCCATATCAGCTGTATCATGATGACAACATTGTGTGGGACTAAGTGCAGCAGGAGAAAATGCTTTCTGTATGTTGGTGGTGGATTGCTGACGTCTGAAGAAACAAATGAAATGACCCATGCAGAGAAGCAGGTGTGCGATACTGGCTGATGCTAAGAGGTTTGGACTGCATGAAATAAGCTTCGGTCCACTGGTTGCCAACACAGTAAGTTGTGTTCTTGGCATGTGTCAGTGAGTCCTCATCAGTCACCTAGTTTTTTAATGGAGGAAGCTCCCGAAGCCATTCAAAAGTAAAGTAGGAATTACAACTACTCTCTTTGTATGATCAAGGGTACCTATAATTTAAAGCAAATATTTATTAGTTTATAATCACACTTTATAGAAGTATACAGAATTACAATAACCTAGGTAGTAATAGTTGTGTGGTTATAGTGGCCCACTGTGCTCTGCGAGTTTGGGAATATTTTCAAGGTAATACAACACAATTTTACACTACTTCCCACATAATTGCGTTTACCTGTAGATGCAGAGGTTGAATTGGAATTGGTATGTTGTAAGGGGAAAAAAATATCCCGCTCTGCTACTAGTTCATCTCAATCCCGGTATATCTTTTTGACAGGCCGTATCTTTTTGACGTTTGTGCTAGCCTCTATCCGTTTATTGCAACAACAAGAGACTTGCCCAACCTTAACCTAATGCTGGGGAGGTGAGAGACTCCACTACAATGGAAAAGTCACCTTAAAGTACTCAATGTAAAATACATTGATGAATCCATTAGGCTGGCCCACTTTACACGGGCAAAGCAATTTTAACTTGTTAATTTTTTTCTTTCTCTCCCCTTATCTGCAGGTAAACAGCCTGACAGGATTTACTTTTCCTACTACCGAACGCTGGTGGCCATTTGGATTCTTTTCGGCCTTGCCTGGATTGCTCTCCTATTTAATTTATTGACAACAGTACTAGAAGATACTGAAAAAATAATTGTCAAGGATCTCCATCAAATTGGAAAGGTGAGTAAGGGCAATGAAGCAAGCCAACAAAGAAGATACTGGCCTGCTCAATTTATTCCAGAAGAAGAACTACTGCCACCACGTGCTGGAGGGGATGCAGAAAAAATGGAGTCATTAGAAGCAGATTCTGAACACACAAAAAATGAAAAAAAATGATTTTTCTTACAGCAAAACTATTGCCATAACATATGAGAATTGAACTCTTCATTGGAGAGTTGCTAGTGAATTATTCTGAAGAAATTCCCATGGAAAAAAATTTCTACTACCTTTTGCTGAGATATGACCTTTCAGAACTCAGGACTCACAGTTACACAAAGCCCAAAATTAATGGTAAGAAATTTGCTCCTCAATTTGCAGCTAGGTTGTGCTAACAACCTGAAAAGTGCACTTGTTTTGCAAGGCATTTTTAAAGTGCTTCCGCAAAAACGCAGAGGAGGGGCACGGTAGAGCTTGCTGGTTCTATTTGGATTTTGCTGCTTGCAAGAAATCATGTCTCTTCCAGGAACTGACATGCACAAGCTTTTATGAGGCATTGCATAACACCTTTGGAAGAAGAATTAAGGGTATATAACTTAACAGATGCCTGATTTGAGCCATCATATCGGATAAGCTATTATGATCTGAAAGACATGTTTAAAGGACAAGACCTGGGCTCAGTTCAGACACTAGAAACATCTAATGGACAGGGTTAGAAAAAGGTTAGTGTGTTAGAAATGATTAATTCTACCTCTTCCTGTTTTATACTAAGATGAATAAAGGCAATTTCACCTTTTATCTCTGTGGCTTTGAACAACCTTTCTAATGGTGTTTATAAAGAACATATAAACCCATGTCTTTAATTCAAATTTTATAATAATTTTATTCTGTCAGCACTTTATAAGAACAGAGACTGGTTTGAATGGAGCAGCCCTCACTACATCAGAGCCTTGCTGCTATGTTTGTATTCCATAAGAGCTATAAAGTCATTTTAAAAGGATTTTATTGTGTTGTGCTAAGGTAGCTTTCCAAGAGCAAGTGTTGTCTAAACAGTGCAGCCTTACCTTCAACCAGGTAAAAAAAGGATGTCAAATTTGGGCATGGTGTTTCAGATGTACTGCCTGGCATGCAGGCCATCCCTGGGAGAAGACCCTGGCCTTTAAAGGCTCAATCCATGCATCAGGTGCCTTGTGTGTGTCAAGAGTACATGAAAACCCTACCCTGAAGTGCTGGCAAAGCAGCTGTGGTAGACACAGTCATGGAGGTGAAAAGTCCCAAGGGTGTATATGGTTACATTAAAAGTCAGTCCAGTCCAACATCCTGTCTCTGACCATGCCTACTAGCGTATGCCTCCGAAGAGCATAAGAATGAGGCAGCTCTGCCATGCCCCTGTGATGGGGTGCAATCCCTCTTCCAGTAGTTGGTGGCTCAAAGGCTGCCCAAACAAGAGGTGGTGTCTCTGTACTGCAAAGTCCGTGAACTTGCCCAAATGCTGAACCCACATCAGCACCCACAGGACCCACCCAAGGTAGTCCGTAGGTCCAGTAACCAAAGTATCTCTCTTTGATGGTGCTGAACGTGTCACTTGACAGGTTTTCGTGATATCCTCAAGGTCCTATTTTGTCAGACAGTGAATAATTGTTCTCGGCTCACCCTCTGGGTGTTAGTTACAGCAAGACCAGCCCTTGCCAGAGCTATTCCTGTATGAAAGGGAAAATAAATTACAGCTATAAAGCAAATTTAGGCCATAAAGATGCAATCAGCCTTGAAGTTGAATTCATAACTATTTCAGTCAAACAAAACCACACTTCTTGCCAAAACAGCTCTGCTGGTTCAAGACCTGGCATGTAGACCTGACCAAATATGTCCTTTCTTTCCCTCCCCAAATTATTTTCCAGTGTTGCCCTCAAGGCTGACTTCTCACCTAATATGTCTCACTCTCAGTAAACCTTTCTGAGGCAGCAGGAACAAGAACTGACCAAAACTGGGGCAAGGTGGCAGGGGTATCATAGGACACAGCGGTCCTTGTGCAAGCCACGACCCTGTTGCTATCACAAGGTGACACCATAGCCATGCAGAGAAAGCAGCTGGATGCTCCTGCGCAGGGATCTCTTCACCTCTCTGTGTTCCCCTCTCACCAAGCACTGACTCACACTATTATTTTCCAGGCATGATTTTTTCTTTTCTGTTTTTTCCCATCCCTTCCTACAAGGACAATTAACCCCATCCCCAACCTAATAGATGTACTGTCAGGGCTGGTTTAGGGAGAGATGGTCCTGCCTTGGGGTGCAATGGCCATTTTGCACAGTCTCTCATAGTTTCTTCCAGGTCAGTTCCTGCTGTTTGATGCCCCCCAGCCCCAAGGTGGTAGGCAGGGCTTCTGGGCCAGCACAACCCACGTCTATTTGCTGTCTCTATTGAAGAAGAGCCTCCAAGGAACATCTTGAAGTCAACACACTGCTGAAGGATTTTCTTTAACTTGTTTCCACTGTCCTGCTTGCTCCCTGTCATGACAAATAATACAACGCAGCCCTGAAACAAGCTGGTAATGTCTTATTCCAACACAGAGCAATCGAGGATGCTTGTTTAGACATTTCAGGAAGGGCAAGAGAGATGGCCCATGGACTCTGACTGTAAACACAAGCACAGAGCCAGGCATTGGCTCTTTGAACAGAATATGAGAAATTCTGTATCCTTCACACTGGTGGGTGTTTAACAATGAGCCATGAAAACCAAACACGGCCCGTGTCCAAAAATCAGTCTGCCCTGTGCCGCTATTGTCATAGGGTGCAGGCAATTCACCTTTTAACTCATCCCCTCTTGCCACACTCCCTGTGTAAGGCTGCGCTTGCTCCAGACAAGGCACAGAGGTACTGAACAACCAACCCAGGGCCAGGGTATGTGGGAAACGTGAGCCAGGAACAGCCGTCACGGGGCTGTCCTCCTTCAGGCACCAAGAATTGAGGTGTCCTTCCAGCTGTAGATGCCAGCCTGGGAACAGAGAAAACACTTCCACAAGCATAAAGAACATAAAAGCTCTCAGGAGAAATTAAGATAACTGCCCTAAGAAAGAAGACTGGCCATTCATAAATCCTCATACCTGCAGGGAGGACTTTTGAAGAAGGGTCTCAGCTTTGCTTCTCGTGCCCTCTCGTGGCTGTGTGCAGCAGACACCCTTCCTTTGCATTTCTGCCAAGTTCAGGCAGTTTTACTCTGCCTTCTACCGTGCGGTTCAGCTGATGTAGCTGGTACAACCCCGGCCAGTGCAAGTCCCATGGCAACAGATTTGTCAGTGTGACCCAGAGGAAGCCATCCTGTATTTTTATGCAGTTCCTACGAGCTAGCTAAGGGCTAAAACATGCCTCATTCTCAAGAAAGAGATGGGAATGGGCACCCTGAACTAGTCCAGCCAGGGATCCTGCTTTGTACCCACATTGAAACAGCTTTGTGGAGGTCAGCTGGGGATGCAACAGCTTTCTGTCAGCAAACCATCATGCGAAGGACCCTCGCTGGCAGCACGCACAGTGCTGACGACGGGGTATGCTCCTATCATGTCCCATGCACCAGCTTCCCCTGCACAACCTCTGCGGCAGGACTGAGGCACACATTCACACCCTCTGTCACACAGGGAAAGGGATTGTTCCAGAAAAAAAAATCTGCAAAATGGCAGGTTTAGGTGCAGGCTTTGGGGCCAGGATGAGCTGGCCCACTCTGCAGCAGCCTCGAGGGCAGGCAGTGCCTCATGCAGCAGGAGGGGTGGAGATAGAAGCTGCAGATACGTGGAAGAACGAGCCAGCACCAAAGGGTGTGTGGTCCTCTCTGCTGGGAAAGGCAAGGGAAAAGCCCAGGAAAGCTGCAAGCCAGGGTGGGAGAGGAACTTTTTTGGATGCCATATTGTTCCTCACGCTTACACTGAACAATAAAGCTGAAGGGCTTAGGCACAGTAACAAATCTCTCTGGGGCTGGAGCAAGCAGCCTCTCCCAGATTTATCATCCTCTGAGCACCACACAACTGCAGCAGATCTTGTCCTCGCTTCACCCCTGAAAGGGGAAGCTGTTGCTTTCTCTGCAGATAGTAGGGGCCCCAGAGAAAATTAAGTGTATCACCTGAGCTCATGCATAAGACCTTTGGCAAACACCTGGTCTGGTGCTCTCTCTCAACCAGGACCAGGTGCCCTGGTATTGCTTACTAATACATTAGCTAGTGGTTCTGTAGTTGGTGAGGTTAAGAAAAATAATCTTGAATTGAGAGCAAAGTTAGAACAGAGCTTCTCCTCCACAGCTGGAGATTTAAAATGGTCCCAAGACTTTTAATTCATGAGTGTAAGCCAGGCTCTGGCTCTTCTTCTGCACGTTCCCCTTGCCCAAGGGACAGAAAACAGGAATAAAATCCATTCTGAAATCCCTTTTTTGCCAAGTGATGAGACAGCAGCAATCCTCCAGAGACCAGGCGGAGGGGTTCTCGGTCAGCAGATCTGCACAGTCTGGACCCTTTCCCGCGAGCTGTTTAAAAACCCTGACTGTGACCCAGCCTCACTGTGCCACTCAGGGAAATCCAATTTTCACAGAGCAGCCTCGTGTGCAACTGCCAGCTCTCCCACTACAGCTTGTTTTCAAATGGGAAACATTTCCAAAGCAAGCCAAATACTTTCCCATACGTTAAACCAGTTGCTGAAGAACTCCAGGAGTATGATCATGAAACATATTATCTTGGATTAAATGGCAGCAGCATGTTCCTGCATTCAGTCTGGGCTGCTCCTCATACATCACCCACGTCTTTGCTACCAGCTAGCAAACAGTGTGCATTTCTGCACTTGAAACTGAGGAAATGCTATGAGGAATTATCTTTCCCTCAGAAAGAAGCCCCTCAGAAATTCAATTGCCTCCAGAGAGAATAGGAGAAACTGCACTTTGATCTGTCTTTAATTAATGTATGGGATTGTTTAGGGATCTTTCGAGGTCTCCTTCAATTAATAGCCAGTTCATTTGGAGAGATTAGTTTTCTTCTGGAAGCGGAGAGACTAGTCAAAGCAGTGGAACAGCTTGGCTAAAGTAACATCATATAGCCAGGGGGATAATTTTTTTACAGAAATTACTAAACGTGGG